TTCATTAAAGTCTTGGATTTAACCATTAGGTCCAACCTACGTCAACAGAATATGCAGTCAAAGCCCAAGTCAAACAGGACCTAACCCAAGTCAAAGTCAAACCTGTTCAGTCAATTCACAATCCTCAACAATTCAATTCAAATAATCAATTTAATTCAATTAACCAATTTAGCCAAATTATAGCATAAACATAAATAACAATCCAAATCATTAAATCTATTCTGAACGCTATTAACTTCATAGTACGAACCTGGATTACGCAGAAATCGAATCGATAGCTCGAACGGAAAACAAATAAACGAAATCAAACGAACAACGGGTCAAATTGAGCCAAAACACGAAATTGACCAATCAATCTGGCGTGGAGATTAATCTTCCGGCGGTATCAATCCGGGGCAGCGGCTGGATGCGGCGACGGTGGCGGACGCCGGCGTACAGTGGCGGTCTATCTTTTTCAAAAATCGAGGGGGATAGAGACAAACCGGAATGGAAAACTGAAGAAGAAGAAGGAGAAGAAGAGACTGACCTGAGCTAAAGGGCGACGACGGCTGGAGGCGATTGGCGACGCTGCAACTCGACGGCGAGGAGAGACGCCGGCAGTGGAGGCGACGTCCAGCGCTCGGCGTGGCGGCGCTGCACTCGACGGCGAGGAGCGGCGGACTACTGGCGAAGGAAGCAGCGGCGATTGGAAACCGTAGGCGGCGACGTTGACCCTGGAAGTGGGCGACGGACTTCCGGAGAGGGGAAAGCAGCGCCGACTAGCTGTGCCGAGGAGGGACGGTGATCGGCGACTGGCTTACGGCGGCGATCGAGAACGACGAAGGTGAAGATGAAGATGAAGAACCAGGTCGTGCGGCTCTCAGATCCGAACGGAAGACGCGTAGGTTTAGGTTTTATTTAATGATCCCATTCCTGAAAGGATTGGGCTTCGGACCCAAAATACCTGATTAAACGGCCATAACATGAGCTTTAAAACTCCGATTCGCGAGCCGTCTGAACTGACGCGATCAAAAAAATATTTCCTACGAGATGACATAAAAGTTGGGCTTAGAATCCAAATTATAATTTTAACCCCTTTTTGGGCCCAATTCGTAATCAATTGCTCTAACAATTTAATTAATTCTTTTGGGCCAGATTTCGGGGCGTTAGATGTAGTATTCTCAAGATGGGTCAATCCAGTCACACACTATCGATATAATATGCACCTACGTACAGATTAAGATATCAAAATACCTATAGTCTATGAGACGCAACTATCTCATCTCGTACGTACTAGTCTTGATACGTTATGACGTCTGTATTATCATAAAGTGCGACTAGGGATATTCTAGACATAGCCTTCGTCAAGAAGTAACATTCTCATAATCAGAACATCATAGTCCTCATGTAT